AGGAAATTCTTAAATTTAAGAATTAAAAAATAAGTAAATTAGGGGAAAAAATTAGGACTTCTCTTTAGAGTGAAACCGTAGCCATCAATGGAGATTATTTTGGAGAGCAGTGAGATTTTTCAGGCACTGAGCTTCCAGCCCTCTGACTCTTAGGAGCGCTAACTCCCATCGCCAGTCCTTCCCACTGCTGGTGGTTGAGCATCTGAAACTTCAATGACTGTGATGAGATGTCAGCAGACAGGCTGCAGGAATGTCTGAGGACACAGGAAGGGCCCAGAGAAGAGGGCGGGTGCCTCCTTGATGGACAGCCAGGGAGGGAGGGTGTGGATGGGTCTTCAGTAGGCAGGCTGGGTGTCCTTTCCACACCAGTTTCTCTATGAGCTGGCACGGTCTGGTTCATAGTAGCTTACATGATTCTTCCCTGGTGGCTCAGATGGTAAAGCATCTGCCTACAATGCGGGAGACCTGGGTTTGATCCCTGGGTCGGGAAGATCCCCTGGAGAAGGGAATGGCAACCCACTTCAGTATTCTTGCCTAGAGAACCCCATGGACGGAGGAGCTTCATAGCCTACAGTCCATGGGGTCCCAGAGTTGGACATAACTGAGAGTGACCTCACTTTCTTTCTTTACAGGATTCTGGCCCCGTTCTACCATGTGACCCAGGACAATGATTCCTGCCTGGGCCTCAGTGTCTGTCCTGTAAAATGGTGTTGGTGTGGAGGCCTTAAGTGTTGAGTGTAAACATTTCATAGCAGAAAGACAGCTGCCTCAGACATAATTTTTGGATCTAAACACCTTCCTCTTGGATTCTGGGTCTCCCGACTCTCTCCCCCCACCCCAGATGAACATACGTAACTTTCTTAAAATGCATTTTCCTAAACAAAGGCAGTGTCCCAGCAGTCTGGACACCATTCTCACAGGGACCTGCAGACTCAGTATTGTCAGTCTTTGCAAGGACTCATTAACTGAACGCCTCAATAGAGTTTAGTTTTTCTAACTCTGTGAGATACTTTGGTAGAATAGACTCTGGAATAAGAAAGATGTGTAACAGAGAAGAACAAACCTGAAATATACATGATAGCCCACTCTCAAGACTCTGATGTAAAGAGATAACAGTTTTATTCACACAGATAAAAAGTTGCAGAACCGAGATCAAAGTTTCTTCTGTTTTCAAAGTTGATATCAAAACATTCTCCTTTTTAATGGTGTCAAGCTTTAAATTACAGTCAGTGGCAGTTCAACTGAAGGGTAAATTTGTATACGAACTAGATAGCAACTGTGTGTGTGTGTGTGTGTGTGTGTGTGTGTGTGTGTGTGTGTGTGAGTGAGCATGCAGGAGCAAGTATACTGGAGAGAAATAGACCAACATCTTGATGGTGATTAGATTAGGAAAATGGATTGTGACTCTAACGTTCAATGTACTGTTAGGATTGTACTACTTTCACAATTTAACAAATGCTCTTCATAACTTCATTTTTTGGCTGCACTGGGTCTTCGCTGCTGGGAGAACTTTCTCTCGTTTCTACAAGCAGGGGCTGCTCTTCCTCGGGGGGCTTGGCTTCTCACTGCGGTGGCTTCTCTCGTTCTGGCGCACAGGCTTTGGTGCACAGACTTCAGTAGTGGCAGCACGTGGGCTCAGTAGTTGTGGCACGTGGGTTTCATTGTTCGAGGCACGTGGGATCTTCCTGGACCAGAGATGGAGTCCATGTCCCCTGCATCAGCAGGCAGATTCTTATCCACTACACCACCAGGGATGTCCACTGATCATAACTCTTTAGACCTTCAAGTGAAAGCACACTTGTTTCCCATTATTTTCTGCCCTGCTGTCTGGCTCTCACAACATCACTCCTGGAAGCGATCTGGCCAGCGTTCCCCAGTCATGGAAAGGAGTGGACTCAGTCCTCATGGGGAGCACATTTGGTCAGTGACAGATGAGCAGCGGTTTCCCTTGGCTCCCAGGATGCAAACGTGTCCCCTTGATGATGGAGACCTTCTGACTATTCTGTTCTGTGGACCCACCCCCGCATCCCAGACCCAACCGACGTTTACTGTTGGTTATATAACAGGTGGGGCTTCCCAGGTGGCTCAGCTGGTAAAGAATCCACCTGCAATGCAGCAGACCCAACTTCGATCCCTGGGTCAGGAAGATCCCCTGGAGAAGGAAGTGGCAACCCACTCCCATGTTCTTGCCTGGAAAATCCCATGGACAGAGGAGCCTGGTGGGCTACGGTCCCATGCGGTCACAGGAGTTGGACACGACTGAGCAAAGAACAGGTGAGGGAGAGCACACGCTTGCTGGGTGCAGGATGATTTTTTGAGACATGAATTGATATCAAATTTGTCTTCTCTGTAGTTTTCTCTCCCCTACATTTCCCAAGAAAGAGGCTAGGGCTCCATACGTCTATAGAGACTGAAAGCAGAAGCCATCAAAGACAACCTCTCTTCCTGTTTGATGTCAGCTTTCACCGAAGTGTAAACTCGCTGAAGGGATTATTTGAGGTTTTTAGAGCAGGATGGAGATGAGGTGAGTGTCTTCTAAAGAGAGATGGGCCAGAAAGTCCCAGAGACAGGCCGGCCCCTCCAGCAGCGGGGACCAGGGACTAGGGGACCCCGTCACCCAGACTTCCTGGCGGGGAAAGGGTAACAGAGCCGCCTCTTCCACCAGAACCATGTGGCTGCCTGCGATCCTCCGCTGTGGTCAGAGGCGACAGCCTGCTTGTGGCTGGGGGCCACAAAGGCCTTCCCAGTGTTTTTGCTGCCCTGAGCCAGGAGGCTGGAGCTCCTGTAATGACAGAGATGGTATTTCCTGCCTGCTCAGTGGAATGGCAAGCTCCGTTTTCTTTGATTTATTGAAAATGAAGAAAGGCAACACTTCCTGCACCCCTGGGTTAGTGGCTAATTGATTCCTGAGACCGTTGTAAATTCACAGCGGGCCTGGAACGCGGTTCAGATGGATGGGAGATCAGTGTCTAATTGTTTCCTTCCTCTTCGTCCTGAAGCTCTCACATGCGGTGGGCCCTGGGGATGCTGGGCAGAGAGGGTAAGAGTTCTCAGGCTGGCCGGCCTGAAGAGCCTGTGGTCTGGGGAGGGCTCCGCCGCCTGCGGGGGGCAGGTTTCTGGAGGAGTGAAGAGAGGAAGGAGCTGGAGGAGGGGACTCAGTCCTGCCTCTCCTGGCAAGACTGTTGGGACTTTATGCTGGCACCCTGCTGAGCATCAGCAGGTGTTTGGAAGTCGCTGATGCTCACAGAGGAGGCTTAATGAGGTAGAGGGAAATTTCGATTGGATTACATCAGTGTGGCCCGGGTGGGCTGGCAGCACCCGGAGGTTGCTACTCCAGCACTGGGGCCCCATCCGGGGACTCTGCTCCCACCCAGTTCTCTTCTCCTTCCAGCCCTCACCTACTCTTGCCCCATCAGCAGATTTGCATTTCTTGAGGACCCTCTGTGTGTGGACAGCGCTGAGCTAGGTGAAAATCTGACCAACTGTGGACTAGGTGAATCCAAAGAGGAGGTGGAGATTTCCGCCTCCAAGTCCTGGGAGCGATACAGAAAAAGACAGTACTCTGACTGTCCTTTCTCTTGTGGATTATCTGCGGGCCCTGGAGGCTCCAGGGAAACCCGAAGGATGCTCTGATCGTGAAGCACGCCAGAACCCCTAGACAAGGGCAGTGAAGGACATAGTCATTCGTTTTAAAAGCTGAGACGTGGAACTTCCCTGGTGGCTCAGTAGTTAAGAATCTGCCTTGCAGTGCAGGGGAGACAGGTTTGATCCCTGGTCTGGGACGACCCCACGTGCTTCGAGGCAACTAAGTCCATAAGCCACAACAACTGAGCCTGCGCACCCTAGAGCCTCAGCTTTGCAACAAGAGAGGCCGTCGCAATGAGAAGTCCACGCAACACACTGCAGCATAGCCCCAGCTTTCTGCAACTAGAGAAAGCCCGGGTGCGGCAGTGAGGATCCAGTGCGGCCAAATAAAAGTAAATAAATAGAATTAAATTTTTAAAAACTGAGGGGCAATTGACATACAGCACTGTGTTAGTTTCAGGGTCACCACATAAAGATTGGATATTTGTATACATCGTGAAATGACCACCACAATGTCTAGTTAGCACCCATAAGTACACGTGGTTACAAAAAGTTTTTTTTCTCGTGATGAGAACTTTTAAGATCTACTCTCTTAGCAACTTTCAAATATGCAGTACAGAATTGTTAACTATGGCCTTCCCCGTTGGCTCAGCAGCAAAGAATTCACCTGTGATGCAAGAGATGCAGGAGATGCAGGTTCGATCCCTGGGTCAGGAAGATCCCCTGGGGGAAGGGCGTGGCAACCCACTCCAGTAATTCTTGCCTGGAGAATCCCGTGGACGGAAGAGCCTGGCAGGCTGCAGTCCGTAGGGTCACAAAGAGTCAGACATGACTGAGTGATTGGGCACAGCAGCGTTATTAACTACCATCTCCACGTACAAACGCCCCCAGGGCTTGTTTTATACCTGGGATCTGTAGCTTTTGACTCATATTCACTGTTCTTAAGCTGCAAGTCCAAAACGAAAGACGATGGGGAACGCTGGAGGAGAAACTTGCCCTGGCTTTCGTGTTGTGTGTTTTCATTCACGGTTTTTCTCTTTTACACAGATCTCCAACCATGAGCAAAACAGCACACAGCCCTCAGAGTTGTCCGGCTTCACCCTTCAGCCCCTCTCCATTGCCCTGCCTCTCTTGGCGGGAGAGTGAATTAATAAGTCAGGAGTTAGGACCCAGAGATAGTTCTCAGACTTACACGATCTGACAGCTGGCTGGGAATCATTGAGGTGTGCTTTCAGAGACCTCGGGCTGATCCGAGCCGGTTTCAGCCAGGTTTACTCTCTCCAGGTGTCCACGTCCTCTGGGTTCCACTCTGGACTTTGAAGCTCTGCGTTTTCTCTTCAAAAGCCCCCTTTCTGATGGAAATATCCTGCTGTTAAAGAGGAGGAAGGCATTATCTCTCGCAAGCCGGCATCATAATGCTAGCAGATTTTATCCTGGTGCTCAGCACCCTTGGGGTCACCCACTCAGGTAAGCTCAGGTCGAAGCAAATGAAAACTTGATCATTGCTGGTGCTGATAACACCAGGATTAAAAAATGTGATGTGTAGGTATTTTAGGTTAATCTTTGAGATAACCTTTAAAAATGTAGCTCCGATGAGTAATTCCATGAAGTCTGTATATTGCTAAAGAAATCATATGAATTCTGTAATGTTTGTACTTTTGCCATTGACTCTCTTATTCTTTTGGAGTCACTATGAGCTTGGTAGGAAGATATGAAAGCAGGGGAAATGTTATCAAGTGCACTGAATGATACTCAGAGAATTGTTAAAATACTTGGCATAGGGATTGATTATATCAACATTTTAGTATCGTATTATTAACAATCACTATAGCTGTGTATAGATGCTTAATTGACCAAAATATCATGCAGATATAGAAATACTTGTATAAATTTGTGCATATAGGTGTATTTAGTATGTTTTTTATATCACAGTTAAGCAAATGTCCGTGAAGTGGTGTGAGTTTTCTGTGACTATCATCCACCAGAAAATAAAGGCATTTTTAATAAAGAATGAGGACAAATAAAGGAGACAGAGGGCATGAAAGGAAAGTGGGAGAAAATAACTGGGAAGTTTAGGGAAACGTGGTCAACATCACCTGCCAGCTTTCTGGGTGTGGGAATCATTTCACTTTTCCTGCAACTTAAGAACAGCAAGCTCTTCCCCTGATACCAGATTCCATACAGAGCCAGATTCCATACAGAGCCAGAGACTGGTGAGAAAACAGTGTAGTTCCTGTAGCAGTTTGTATTTATTTGTCACTAGTGTTTTGGCCACATGTAAGTATTGTCATTTTCAGATGGAGAACCAGAGGCACTGAGATTGACTTGCCCAAGTCCTTAAATAATGCTTGGATTTAAAATCCTGTGACTCACACACACACCTGAACATTATTATATCTTCAAAAACATGGCCTGTGCTCAAACCTGGGGCTCAAAACCACACAGAGTCATCTCTAAGTGCAGAGAGCGTTGAATCCAGTTTGGAATATCACTAAATCTGATTTCTTCAAAGTCTTTTTTTATGGAAGTGTGGTTGATTTACCGTGTTGGTCAGTCTCTGCTGTATGGCAAAGGGACCCAGTTATACAAATATATACATTTTTTAAAGTGTTTTTTTCCCCAATTATTTTTAATCCCAAAAGACTGGATATAGTTCCCTGTGCTGCACAGTAGGACCTTGTCGTCTGTCCATTCTAAATAGTTTGCCTCTACTGATCCTAAACTTGCAATGCACCTTGCCAATCATAAAAATAATAATAAACTTCTGTGTGTTTTAGCGTGCAATTAGTCTTACACATAATCAGCTTCTATGCAATTCACGTCTGGTGTTTTTCTGCCTTAATTACTAGAGCATCCTATTTCCTTTGCAGGAATTGATCCCTAACATTCTTTTCAGCAGAGAAACCATCTCCCGGGTCAGCAGGGCTGGTTAGCATAACCCCTCAGAGTCACCCTCAGCGGGTTCACCCATGCCTGCTTCTCTGCCTGCAGTGACAGTTGCATAAGACGGTTGGAATCGGACGAGAGCCTGGCCCCCGGCTTTCGTAGGTGTGCTGCGGGAGTCTAGAAATGTGTGCCTAGCTGTGTGCACCTGTCACGGATCTGTAACAAGTTCACGTAGTCGCCTGCGGTAACTCTGGAGTTTGTGAGCATTTCTAGATCCACTGGAGAGTCTCTTTCTATTTTTAGATCTGTGCCACCTTTCCTTAAGTTCTTTAACTTCTCTATTCATTGTAAAGAAAACGATGAGTTTCCTTTTCTTACACAAAGCTACTTATTTCAAATGACAAGGGACAAGCCCTCATTTCTGTTTATCTGGTCTTGGTGGAAGGATTGCTGTCTATGGCCACACTTTTGTCTACTCCAGAAATAGGGACAGTATCTTATTCCTCTTCCCATCCTTCTTAACAAAAGATGATGTGTGTTATTCATTAAAAAAATATTTATTGAAGGTCTACCACATCCTAGGAATTGTTCCGGTATGTGGGATGCATGGAGGAGTAAAACAGTTGTTCTGAGAAGCTCTCAGGCGAGCCAAAAGCTATTAAATATTTATTATTTAAGTCCATCCTGAGGGCTAGCTATACATGTTGGCAGAAGAGACCATTTTTGGTAAGATTTTTTTTTTTTTGGATGAGGTAGTGATAATGAATGAAAGGCAAAACCAAAATACTCCAGAAGGTGTTAAATAAAGTAAACAACAATACTTGCTGAGATTTGAAATTCTTCAATTATCTGTTTTCTCTCCTAGCTGAGAATAAACAGGGGTGGCATTTTCAGTAAAATCATAAATAATCATGGGAAGTTTCACCTACTAAGTTTGAAGTAGGATTCATTTATACTATATGTTACAGGTGTACAATGTGGTGACTCTCAATTTTTTAATTATTGTGTTTGTTTATTTTTGGCCGTGCTGGATCTTCATGGCTGGGCTCTTCTCTAGTTGCGGCGAGCAGGGCCCCCTCCTCGATATGGTGCTCGGGCTCCTCACTGCGGTGGCTCCTCTTGTTGGGGCCCCCAGGCTCAGCAGTTGTGGTGCACGGGCTTAGACGCATGGGGGATCTTCCTGGATCAGGGCTCGAACCCACCTCTCCTACCTTGGCAGGTGGATTCTTTACCACTGAGCCATTATCAGGAAAGCCACACTTCCTTTGTAGTTGCTCTAAAGGATTGGCTATATTCCCTGTGCTGTACGTATGTCCTCGTAGCTTACTTCATACCTAATAGTTTGTTCATCTTTATCCCTTGCCTCATATCACCCTCCCCTGTCCACGCTGGTAACCACTGGCTTTTTCTCTTTACCTACGTGTCTGCTTCTTTTAAGTTGTATTCACTACTTTGTTGTCTTTTTATCATCTACTAAGTTTTATCAATTATTCATATTTCAGTGTGAGAGAGTTTGCCAAAATTTTTATAAAAGTGATGATTGATGTGGGGTTGAGCAGGGCGCAGAGTCTGAGCCTCCAAAGAAAGGAGAGGAAATAGTCCTGAGGAATAAAGAGAACAGAGTCTCAAATCGTAGGTTCCAAAGAAAAATTTGTCTCAAGCTGGTTGTGGGCACCTGATCCAAATCTGTCTCAATTCCACCCTCTGGTGTGGAGCGAGCCCTAAGCTCATCACAGCCAGCGCCTGATTCCGTGGTAGCTTTAGCTACCGTTACCCAGATCCCTTCTCTGCTGCAGCCAGGGGTGAAGGCCTGTTCTCCAATCAAGGGTGCAGCTTACACGCCAGCTCTCTTTGTATTTGGGGGAGCAGCAAATATTGGCAATAAGGGGTCGCGTTTGTGACTGTTTTATGGACATCAAGACCCTGGAGGCACAGAGCGTGTGGGTGGCCAGACCTTCCCCATCATCTATGGCCCCGTTTTCACTGTTTTCACGGCCTGGAATCAGGAGTAGGCTCTCGTCTCTGAGTCTGAGTCCGGGGCCTCTCTATGTGGATAAATATTAATTAGGTTCTTCATTCTATTGAGTGACAAGTTTGGCAAGAGACTCGGTGGCCTTAGCCGAGGGCAGTGAGCCCTCCTGCAGCACGGCCCCTGCCCAGTTTCAAGCGGAGGAAGTCGCTAGGATCAGGAGGGCGCTGCAGCCCTGTCTGTCTGTCCACATTGCTCTCAGGTGCACTCTGGTTCACCTTTTTTTTTTTTTTCCCCTCTCTCTGCGGAACTGCTTATCTGGTCCCAGGGGAAAGATTTTGACAAAGAAAACCAGGGCAAAATGGTCAAGTAGAACTGGGAGTTCCCTGGCGGTGCAGTGGTTAGGACTCTGTGCTTTCACAGAACTGAGGCCAAGGGTTCAATTCCTGGTCAGAGAACTAAAATCCCACAAGCCACATGGCAGGCAAAAAAAAAAAAAAAGACTAGGGAGAAGAGAAGAAAGGGAGAGAAAGGAGTTCCAGGGGAAAACAAAATTCCTTTTTCACCAAAAGAGATGGTGAAAAGCATTTCTAACAGGCAGCACACACTCTCTGAAGATGTATGTGTACGTTAGACTCTGTGTGTGTGTGTGTGTGTGTGTGTTGGGGAAGCTACAGGGAAACGTGGGGAGACCCTTGTCCAGTCTGAAGCAGGATGGCTCTGTTCTGTGACTGTAAAGCACCGGGCAGCCCCCCGCCCAGAGAGTGACCCCAGAGCAGCACCCAGTCAAGAAGCCCACCCACAGCAAAGCAGCAGCCTGCTGGGTGCCCCCTGCCGCAGAAGGAGATTGGGGGGCAGATTACAGAACACTCTCAGCAGGGTCGAGTGTCTCCCCAAGACCACACAAACACCACCTGGGACCTGGTTTAAGAACACCATGCTCCCCAAAGATACACCACTTGAAACAACAGTTTGGAAAATACAGTGCTAGCCCCACAGCAACAAAAATAGCAGTAACATTGAATGTGCATTCATAGACGTGAACTGCTAGAGCAGATTTTGTGTGGCAGGGAGACACGCTGGCAGGAACAGTCTTTGTCTCCCCAATCCGTGAAGAACTTCATGAGCTGATGGAAAAGATGGCAACTTGGGAGTCAGAAGACCACAGCGCCCCTCATTCTCTGGGTGACCCCTCCCAGCTCTCCTGGGTCTTCACCTGTGAAGCAAGAGGCTTACGTGTCTTGAAAGTCCTTTCCAGCTCTGTGGTCTTCATGTCTTTATCATTTATCTTTCTCTCCTCTTTAATTGATGCTGAAATGCTCTCCCATCCTTCCCCCCAGGAAGCTGACTTTGGGGAATGAAACCCCCACAGCAGAGCAGGGAGGAGGCTCACTCATCTTCCAAGAGCAGTTTTCTGACTTGTCAGTGGATCACTAAGATGTGTCTTAGAAGAGTGATCTTATCTAATGAGTTTGAAAAATAAGTCCGTTTGCAAAAATTGGGTTTACACACAACTGCTCAGGCATCTCTTTCTTTCTTTTTTTAATTTGTTTTTGAAGTTTTACGGAAGTACAGTTGATTTACAGTGTTGTGCTAATGTCTGCTATATAAC